GTTTTAAATAAACAATCATTTATTTTATTTTATCTCTCATAAAAATAAAATAAAATAAATTTCTCTCTCCTCCCTTTTTTCTTAGAAACGTAATCTCTTTTCTTGGTAATATCCTTTTTTACTTGGTATATACCTCACTCTCTTTCCTAGGATCAGAAAAAAAAAACCTCCATCTTTTTTTCCCTCTCTCTCTCTCCAGTATGAATTCTCTACTCCATTTTTATTCCATTTTCATTTTTCTTAAAACTAATATGTTTTGAAGGATCCCTTAAATAGAAGCTCTCTGTATATTATATATGTACTTCAAGTAGTTATGTATTCAGTATCTTATTTGTGCATTTGTTCGTAGTCAACAATTCATTGGTTTTAAGTCTATTCATACTTTCTTTTTGTTTTTAATTATGATTTGCATATGTTGTATGACAAGAAGCAATACATGAAGAACGCTATCGCCGCCAACTACAGTAGTCAAGAATTTATGGTTGCAATTTTTAAAACCGTCGTCCTCTTATCCTTATTCTAGACGATCCAATCGTAGCGTGATTTGGTGATTGAAAAAGCAGTCCCCGTGTTAGAGATGCAGTGATTTACAAACGGAGAAAATAAAATATTTTTTAGAGATGCAGTGCAAAAGTTTATGCCGAACAATATAACCTTTATTGGTGTTTTGTCCGCTTGTAACCATTGTGGTCTGGTAGAGGAAGGGAAAAGATGGTTTAAAGGAATGGAGGGCTTTGGGCTTATCCCCCAAATTGAGCAATTGAGCAATATGGTTGGATGGTTGATCTTTTGGGAAGGGCAGGATGCTTGGAGGAAGTCGACAAATTGATTGAGAGAATTCATAAGGTTGGTTTGCAGTTACCGAAGAGAGAGAGATGGAGGTTTTTTTTCTGATCCAGGAAAGAGAGAGAGAGAGGTATATACCAAGTAAAAAAGGATACTACTAAGAAAAGAGATTACGTTTCCAAGAAAAAAGGGAGGAGAGAGAAATTTATTTTATTTTATTTTTATGAGAGAGAAAATAAAATTAATGATTGTTTATTTAAAACATTAAAACTATTTGTCATGTCAGATTTAATCTCAACCATTAAAAGTGGAATAATCTAATGGCCCAAAGATTGTGTCAAAACTTGTGTAAAAAACATGGTGCCACGAATCCGTCCCCTATATATATATATGTATATATATATAACTACAAGTATCCCTCTCTATTTTGTAACACCCTCCACCTCCCTCCCACACACACACACACACACACTCTCTCTCTCTCTCTCTCTCTCTCTCTCGTTGTGTAATTGTAGGGATTGTGTGTTTTGGCCATGGAGCTTAAAGCTGTAGTTTTCTCAATTCCTTACGGTGTAGTCTTTGTTGTCCTTGGTCTCTTTGTCAATCTTCTCCAGGTACTTTCTATATCCTGAAATTGTTGATCCGGTCCTTTTTTTTTTTTTTTGGTTCTTCCTCACCTAAAATAGCATTTAGCGACTATTTTCTATTAGTCACCCACCACAAGGTTTTTGGGGATGACATTTTAATATAGCAATTATATTTTCATATAAACTTCCTTGGTATAATATGCGCTTTTCACATATAAGCTCATGATAACTTCATATTGAAGAGTTTATTGACATTTATCTGCAAAAAAAATTAATAATTCAAATTTCTCTCTTTCAAATACTTTTTTTTGTTGGTCAAACTCACTTTCAAATACTTAAGCAGCAGCTATTATATATGATGTGAGTAGATTTGACATTGTGATGGAAGGTGGCATAGCTAATGGTTATACTTTTGTAGGCCATTTGCTTTCTTACTATTCGACCTTTGTCCAAGAGTGCATATAGAAAGATCAATGGAACAGTTGCATCACTTTTATGGTTGGTTCACATTTGCCTCTTGGAGTGGTGGGCAGGCCTTAAGGTGCTCTAATTAATTTGCATTATATAGTCATTTTGTTTTATACAATATATATATATATATATATAGTTATTACTCTCATCCGGAAATCCGCACATTATTATTATACGGATGTCATTGCAAACAGAAAGGAAAAAATGGAGGGGTGGTAGAAAATACATGGTGTCTGCATGATCAAGGGTGGAGCTAGAATTATAAAGTTAGGGTGGCCAAAGTAGAAAATACAAGTATATAAAACATCTAAGTATTCAATACTTACATGTTTAGAGCTAAATATTTCTAATTGAGTCATGTCTAATTTGTTTTAAAGGAAATTTTAACTTAAATTCTAAGTTCTTTATAACAAATTCTATATATTATATTTAATATAATAGAGGAGTGATAAAAATATGGGGGGCCGAGGCCACTCCAGGTCTAGGAGTGGCTCCCTCACTGCGCATGATAATAACGTCCGGGCATCCGAAATATATATTGCAAAGGTTGTAGGATTAATTTGTAGCAAAAAAGAAATGTTGTAGGATCATATTTTTTACTTTCATATTAATACCGGACCGATCCTCTATATATGTTCAACTAATTAGAGAAAATTCAGTCCATGATGAGTTTAGCGTCGCTTTAATTATGTGTTGATGGATTATGATAATAAAGGTAATGTTTTCTCGTCAAAAAGTCTCATATGTATAAATTATCGGATTAACAATGGAACAAATACAAAATTTAAACAAGATTCCACTTTACCATCCCAATTGATTACGAATCCTAATTATGTAGCAAAAGAGTATGCTACATGAATATGTATTAGCACCACTCATCTGCAGAAGTTGACTACTTTACTTTTGATTACAGGTTAAACTATACACAGATTTGGAAACTTATCGACTAATGGGTAACTATAAATAAATTTTGTTTTTCGTGATGTTCTTCCACAATTTTATTGAGGGACACGTTGTGGGTCAAGTACGAATTTTATTTCAACAATCCGAACTGTCTATTTTTCAAGTCTTTATATCTTTGTAAAAAATTAGAGAAATTGAAAAGCATTAAGACATTTAGTTTGTGACCAACAAAATAGATGAAGATGGTGCTTCACAAAAACA